TAGATTCATTCAACTCTTTTTAAACCAACGTTAGTGTAATTTGCGTCATCTCTCACTGAATTCAGAACGACGCATATATTTGGTTGGATTGATGTGAATTTGTGACCCTGGGTTTCACGCTTTTGCGATCGTCAGAAAAACAAGCGTGAAACCCAGTGTCAGAAAATCACACCAATCCAACCCAATATGTTAGCTCTATCACTGATATTGAGCGCTTTCTAATAAGTACCGGGCATATAATATATTATATATATATATATATATATATATATATATATATATATATATATATATATATATATATATATATATATATATATATATATATTCGAATTCCAGTCGAATCCAACGTGCTAATACCCTTGGGAAAGGTGTGAATCCTCTTCTTCTCCCTCCAGCTATGGGTAAATAGCAGGACAAACTGGGTTCTATAGCCTTGGATGGCAACTGGTCTAGGAGAAGGACAACTCTGAATTCAAAACCTGCGGAGGGTCGTTTGGGGACCTTGGGGCACGTAGTGCACCAGGTCTCTGTAATTGGCCCTTCAAAAAGTGTGGATGGTCCTGCACGAAACCTTCACCACTATAATCAAATCTCATGTGTCGTTGCCGGGCTGTCGGTTTCCTGGGAACTGATCTGCTTGACCTTCATACGTTGAGTTCAACGGGAGAGTCGACTATATATATATATATATATATATATATATATATATGCAGCATATTTTCATTCATGCTTGGTTAAATAATTTAGACGTGTTATGCCTATTTATTTTAATTTTAATTATTTCAAGTCCACGAACTAAATTTTTGGTGGCTTTACAAAATTGACTAAGTAAAAATTTCAAAAATTTTCTTTCAGTTAATTTTTAATTTCCCAAGTATTTTCAATCTCATCTGAGAGCATCTTCAGTAGATGCATATCTATGGATGTGTTATGCCTTAACACCGTAAATTAACAATATTTTTTTTTTTACAAGAGATAAACTTTTATTCCTGTTCAAAAGATAAGGGAGAAGTGTAAACCGAACGAGAGACGAACCTCTCTACTCCAAGTGAGAAAAAGAAAAAAAAAAAAAGTAAACACAATTTAGCGTTTAGCCGGAGACGTTAGAAGTATAGAGTTGAAGTAGACTTTAGAAGGAACCGGAAACCCAATCCTAAACAGGAAACAAGGTATAAATCTCTACTCCTATTCAAAAAACCTATCTACTCCTACTGAAGGAAGAAAATAAATAAATAACATTTCAGAGTTTAGGCGGAGACGTTAGAAGTATAGAGTTGAAGTAGACTTTAGAAGGATCCGAACCCAATTCTAGAAAAGAAACAAGGGATAAACCTCTACTCCGATTAAAAAAAAAAATCTATTCCTACTGAAGGAAGAAAATAAATGAATAGCATTTCAAAGTTTAGGCGGAGACATCAGATGTGTAGAGTTGAAGTATTCTTTAAAATGAGCTGGAAACTCATTCCTAAACAGGAAACAAAACATGAATCTCTACTCCTGTTCAAAAAACCGGAAAAGGTTGTGAACCAGACGATGGGCAATAGTGTAACAGTCCTATATATAAACATTAATAGTATAGATCTTCTATATCTCTCTGGTGCTGGTGAGTAAAAACCAAAGACATTGCGACGTATAATATAATCTTTCACGCAACCGCCGAGACTCCTTGAATTCCACCTTTTACATTTCCTGGAACTGAAGACTTCACTCTTTTATTTTTAGACCTTATCTAGAACAGGCATATTGGTCTACTCTGATTTCCGACCAAAGTTATTTACAGTTTCAAACTTTGTTTTTATGCTTTTTTTCCCCACCACAGCAAACTGTGAAATGTAGTTTTTCTACCACCATCTCATGACGGTCTGCTGGCCTCGTATTTCCTTCCCTATGTAATTTATCTTTGTATTTCTCTCAACAACGCATTTGTTATCTTAGATGATGCTGTTATCTTCAACTCTGCGGCTTCTCTCTGAAAGTGGTGTATTGATTCTAATGTCTTTTTTGACTCAACACAGATTCCTTCCTTCTCATGGCGGGACCATAAACCTTACCAAAATTCTTCATTTACATTGGAAAATGTTCTTCGAAAATAGAGTTAATGTCTCCTCGTTACCTCTGCTGAATATACTGAGTTAAAATAAATCGGAAATTTTCGATGTGTGCAATATAAATAAAGTTGGTTAATTTGCAATGTAACACACGTACTCAGTTCGCATTAAAAATTTCCAGAATTCTCACATTTTTGTATAAGTGTACATGCTCTATTCGAATCTGGCTTGATAAATCTACCGTTTTGGAATTATCGAGAGTGAAAGTTTGGATTCATTCGCATCGCGGGAAGTTATTACTGGCGTTGATTGTATACATTCGCTGCAGAATAGCTATCTGTATAGGTATCCTTGCGCAAAATGAGTGTGTCTCTGTAAATAGTTCTCGTGCGCAGTAATTGCCACAAATTTAGACAAGATAGATCAGTTTCGAGCTTATATTTCCGTAGTCTTCCGCGTTTAGCTTTCCGCAGTGAATGTATGCAAACAAAGCGAGTAATGGCGGCCGACAACGACGCGATTGAATCCCAAATTTCACTGTCGATAATTCCAAAACGGTAAATTTTATCAAATTTATCAAGCCAGATTCGGATGGAGCATGTACAATTACTCATAAATGTATTCTGGAAATTTTTAATGCGAACTGAGTGCGGGTGTTACACTGCAAATTAACCATAAAGTTCATCGTTTTACTTGCAATGTGGGCGCTCTTTTAATTGTACGACTTGATTAAGAGTACTGCACTGTTACGTAAACTAAGGTAGTCATTCATGGGAAGAAGCCGATTGAGAGGAACTTAAATCTCACTAACGAAATGCATAGGCGAGTTTTAGAACTGGTGGGACTAAGGAAAGTAGTTCGTCTGAATCATTTATAGTCCTGAGTATGACGATAAACTATATCCGGCAACAATGCCTTTGATCAGGTGATTGAAGGTTTTGAATAGTGTGGAACCACCTCTTAATCCTTAGTCCTGGGTATGACGATAAACTATATCCGGCAACAATGCCTTTGATCAGGTGATTGAAGGTTTTGAATAGTGTGGAACCACCTCTTAATCCTTAGTCCTGGGTATGACGATAAACTATATCCGGTAACAATGCCTTTGATCGGGTGATTGAAGGTTTTGAATAGCGTGGAACCACCTCTTAATCCTTAGTCCTGGGTATGACGATAAACTACATTATGTAGCAAGACCTCTGATCGGGTGATGGTACAATATACAATATGGTACAGTTTCTATAACTGAAAGCATGAAATTAAAATATATTTAGATTTCGGCATTAATTAATCCATATAGATGTTGATATGCTGATAAACAAAATCAATAAAACCAAACCTGTAATAGATCAACAAAAACGATATACCTATATGTTATATAAGAATAAAGTGTCGCTGCCGACACTTGAGTTTGAACATAGATCGCCAGTGAGCCAACACAGGCGATCCCATTATTGAATTCAGCAGACCACGTGACCATAGAGCAAAACCATATGTAGGAATTAGCTTGGCATCTAATGATCACCATTTCTAGTATATCCTCTATTACTATACGGACCGCTGTTCTCTATTCTATTCACTATACTATGTCCCTATTCGTATTACTATACGGTGGTTACGTCTGAGCGAGTATTATCGAGCAAGTACTATCAGTGCGAGTGTTATTCGAAGGCGTCTGACACCAGTATTGTTCAACGGCGTTACTGTAGTTGTGTCTACTATTACAAAGTCTCTGCTACAACGAGCATTAAAAAAAAGTAACAATGAGTATTCGTTGGCATTGACAAAGGTTGGCAAGGAGTGTTCGTTGACATCATAAAACTATAAAAGTGTCTGATACTCGCAAAAGCGTGAAACACAGGGTCACAAACTCATAATCATACGACGGAATATGTTAGCCCTATCACCGATATTGAACACTTTCCACACACACACACATATATATATATATATATATATCTATCAAAAAAACAAATTACTTCAACAGAGAGATTTCTATTTCAAGCCGTTCTGTGCGCAGCTATCATCAGTCACTTAAGGATTGATGTAAAAAATACATATGCTCTGTTAAAATAAAAACATCGAGCATTCTGTGGGTCATTTTTAATAATTAATATTACTAGGATCCACTCGGATTATATACCAACGGATCGATTATTATATATATATATATATATATATATATATATATATATATATATATATATATATATATATATATATATACACACACACACACACAAGTATAGGATTGGTGAATACGGAATAAATTCCAATAACCAACAATTACTATTCTTAGTAATTTTTTACTTTTAATATCTAATTTTATCATATAATTTAATACTTATTGGTTAGAATAAATTCTTTTTTTTAATATAACCCCAACTTTAAAGCTCTTAATAGCTATTATAACCTTAATTCGTTGTCAAGTTTTTTGAATTTTCCTATACTTGTATTTTGATTGGTCAATCTAGCTTTTGTAACAACGTTTTCCCCTTGCGAAGGATCGTTAATTTGAAACTTTTAAAACCATTTATTTTACATTCAACATCATCACTTGATAAGACACCGGATGTGTTGAAACAAAATGGCTATTTTTGTAGTGATTTTATAACATATTTATGTTATAATTTTAAATATATATATATATATATATATATATATATATATATTCTGCAAGTATAAAATTATGTATAAAATATCTGTAGTTGAAGGCATGAAATTGCAATAAATGACCCATAAAAGTGTTGATATGCCACTAAACAAGAACCACCAACCAAAAGAATTTTTTTAATAAAGGTCTTTGGCAACAACAGTATATTTCTTTTATTTTTAATTTTACTCTTCGGGAGAATTCCTTCAGCCACCAACGTATTTTTGGTGGTATTTTTCCCCCGCATTTTCTTTTTGTATTTATTGTCCACGAAATACAACCTGATACTAATTTGTTTATATGACTTTTTCCTTCTTTCTCAAATAACCAGTTCTCAAGTAACAGCCACTCTGACAAATAATAAATAAGAAATAAAGCATTGGGATGTAGAGAGGAGGAGGTAGAAGTGAATAAGAGAGAAGGGAAGAAGAAAGACTTGGGACAAGAGAGAGAGGGAGGGAGAGAAAAAGAGAAGAGGAGAAAAGAAATAAAGTGGCAGGAAGAAGAGAGACAAGAAAAATAGAGAGAGAGAGAGAAAAGACGAGAGAAGATGGATAATAAAAGAAATGGTAAGAAGAAATACAAGAAAGAAAAAGGAAAAAGAAAGAGAAAAGGAGAAAGAAGAAAAGAAAAATGGAATGTGAGAAGGAAAGGGGGAATGAGAGGGTAAGAAGGAAAAGCGAGAGGGAATGAAGAACAAATGAGAGTGAAGAGAAGAAGAGAGATGAGAAGAGATCGAAATGAAGGAGAGAGGAAAGAAACAGATCGAAAAGGTGAGGAGAAAAGAAGAGGATAGCAATGTGATAGAGGCTCAAAGAGAGAGAGAGAGAGAGGATAAGTGAGAGTATCGCCAGACATAGAAAAGATGAGAAGGAAGAGAGAGAGAGAGAAAGGAAGAGGATTTGAGTGATGAATAGAAGAGGAGAGGCAAAATACGAGCGAGAGATGTAAGAGAAGCAAAATGATAGAGAGGTTAAGAGAAACAAAGCAAAAGATACAAAGTGAGAGGAAGGAAAGAGAGAGGCAAAGAGATAGAGAGTGAGAACTTAGAGAGTGATGGAAAGCGAGAGAAAACGAGAAGTGAAAAATCAAGGTAAACAAAGTCAACCCTATTGTTGCCAACCATTTCGATCGTGAAAAGAGGAAAGTACCTTGTCTTTTATTTAATTTCTCTGACCAAATCGAATGAAAAACTGATGGACGAATAATTTCAGATGAGACTAGACACAAGTGACTGAAAAGCATTCTTTGATAATGGTCCTTCAGCCTCGGACATTGCGTACAGACAAGATGGCGTCAGGAGAAAGTTGAGGTGAAGAGAAATAAGAAGAGGGAGAATGAGGGAGGAAGGGAGTGAGGATGATGGTGAAAGGTAAATATAGAAAGGAGGAGGAAGGTGGAAAAGAGGAGATGGCTGAGTGAAAGTAAGAGGAAGCAAAAAAGAGAAGCAGTTGGTGAAAGTGATGAAAACATTAAAGAGAAGGAAAAAAGAGAAGGAAGGACATTGAGGAAAGAAGGGAAAGAAAGAGTGTATGGGAAATGTGGAGAAGAGGGGGGATAAAAAAGAGATTAAAAAAAAAAAAGAGATAAAAAAAATGAGTAAAAAAGAAAAAAGAATATGTATGAAGACGATTCTTCCAGGAAAAGGAAGATAAAAGACAAGTGTGTGTATATATATATATATATATATATATATATATATATATATATATATATATATATATATATATATATATATATATATATATATATATATATATATATTATATATGTATATTATATATATATATATATTATATACATTTAATTAAAAAACAGACAACCTTAAGGGTACATTGATTAAATGAAGAATGAAGGAAAATGATAGAACGTGTGTAAATATAAAAGTGAACATTGAAGTCAACAGGCTGTTTCAAGCTAGACGCAATCGTCAGGCTACGAGCCAGTTAAACGTTATTCAGTGGCCTGACGATTGCGTCTAGCATAAAACAGCCTGTCGTCTCTAAGTGTTGACTTCAATGTTCACTTTTATATATATATATATATATGTAAGAACGTTTATATATATGTTTAAACGTTCTTTTTTATGGATACTCATGTCCGTATAGAAGTTCTGTTTTTTACTTAAGTAGTGTTTTTTACTCAACTACATATACTGGCCTGAATATTCAAGAAAATCTTGTCAGAAGTATATCCGTCCTCAAACAGGATTAAAAATTCAGGCGAGTACATGTAGTTTGATGAAAAAAATACTGTTTAATTAAAAAACAGGTCTTCCATTTGGATATGAGTATCCATAAAAATAACGTTTAAACAAAATAAATTAAAAATAAAAATATGGCTGATTTAATATATATATATATATATATATATATATATATATATATATAGAGAGAGAGAGAGAGATAGATAGATAGATAGATAGATAGATAGATAGATAGATAATATATATATATATATATATATATATATATATATATATATATATATTCAAGAGGACAGAATCCAGGTACAACTCAATGTCGGAGATTGAATAAGAATTATATATATATTTAGGAAAGGTAGGATACTCTTCTCCCACAGCAGGTTTCTACCGGGTTCTATAGCCTTGGATGGCAATTGGTCTACCGAAAAAAGAAATGCCAACCTACTGGTGGAAAAATCTGCCTCGTCAGTCATGTATCGAAAGATACATGATCGTCTAGGCTTGTAACTGACTGATACACACACACATATATATATATATATATATACATATTATATATATATATATATATATATATATATATATATATATAAATATATATATATATATATATATATATATATATATATATATATATATATATATATATATATATATATATATATATATATATATATATATAATGAGAGTTTACAATTTTTCAAATTGTTTTTTTGGTGTTTGGTCAGATTTAGTGAAGCGTTTGGGCTGAGAACTTTTCAGCAAACCCCGCACATCGTAATTCTTGCTTAACTTTTTTTTGGTTTCTTCTCATCCACATTTCAGGTCAAGATTATTAGCTACACACAGGACCCCAAGAGAAACAGAGCCCACTAACCATTGGAATCATCAGTTATAGGTGTGGGGGGGGGAGGCATTCTCAGCAGCTCACAAATTAGTAAAAATTGACAACTCAGATTTCAGAAGCATTTTTGGCAAAAGACCAGACCCCTCATTAGAATAATAATTGCAATTTTCTCTGCAAATAATGGTAATAGCGATGGTTCTGATAGCTAATGGCACGGGGATATGATTTGAAACATGGCTGATTCGGGCTTTTCATCAACAGACCATCGAAATTTCTCGTTGTAAGAAGCGGGTCGCTCCACCTAGCAACCGGGCACGATCAAGTGCTTTCTGAGTAGAGTTTTGATAAATGGGTGGGGAAGCCTTGAAAATACGCGGGGGCATAATTATAAAGCCTTTAAAACAAGTCTGTTGTTGATAGTATTAAAAAAAAGTAATAGTTGTTATATTAGGGGAAATAATAAGGAATTCTGTAAGGAATTTTGTTTTCTTCTTAAATATTAAGATAAAATAATGTCGAAAAGAAATTATGAGGCCATAGTTGCGAGCTCAGCGAACAATTCATGTGAGAAATAATTTTGAAAATTAAAATAACAGATGTAATAATACGAGGTCTGTGGCAAATATTTTAGGGTTTAATTTTATTAAAAAGGATGATGAAGAACATTGTTATCGAAAGTTAAATGGAAGCAGAAAGAAAAATGGTTGAATAAAAAATGAGTGAGTAGAAGAGAAAGGGGGGTAAAAGAAGAGAAAGAGAGAGGAGAGAAGTAAAAGAAGAGAAAGAGAGAGGAGAGAAGTAAAAGAAGAGAAAGAGAGAGGAGAGAAGTAAAAGAGAAAGAGAGGTAAAAGAAGAGAAAGAGAGAGGAGAGAAGTAAAAGAAGAGAAAGAGAGAGGAGAGAAGTAAAAGAAGAGAAAGAGAGAGAGGAGAGAGGTAAAAGAGAAAGAGAGGTAAAAGAAGAGAAAGAGAGGAGAGAAAGTAAAGAGAAAGAGAGGAGAAAAGAAGAGAAAGAGAGGGAGAAGAAGTAAAAGAAGAGAAAGAGAGAGGAGAGAAGTAAAAGAGAAAAGAGAGGAGAGAAAGAAGAGAAAGAGAGAGGAGAGAAGTAAAAGAGAAAGAGAGGTAGAAAGAAGAGAAAGAGAGAAAGAGAGAGTAAAAGAAGAGAAAGAGAGAGAGAGGTAAAAAGAGAAAGAGATGTAAGAGAAGAGAAAGAGAGGGGAGAGAGGTAAAGGAAGAGAAAGAGAGGGGAGAGAGGTAAAGGAAGAGAAAGAGAGAGGAGAGAAGTAAAAGAAGAGAAAGAAAGAGGAGAGAAGTAAAAGAGAAAGAGAGGTAAAAGAAGAGAGAGAAGAGAAGTAAAAGAGAAAGAGAGGTAAAAGAAGAGAAAGAGAGAGGAGAGAAGTAAAAGAGAGAGAGAGAGGAGAGAGGTAAAAGAGAGAGAGAGAGAGAGGAGAGAGGTAAAAGAGAAAGAGAGGTAAGAGAAGAGAAAGAGAGGGGAGAGAGGTAAAGGAAGAGAAAGAGAGAGGAGAGAAGTAAAAGAAGAGAGGAGAGAATTAAAAGAAGAGAAAGAGAGAATTAAAAGAAGAGAAAGAGAGAGGAGAGAAGAGAAAGAGAGAGGAGAGAAGAGAAAGAGAGAGGAGAGAGGTAAAAGAAGAGAGAGAAGAGAGGGGTAAAAGAAGAGAGAGAAGAGAGAGGTGAGAGAAGAGAGAGGTAAAAGAAGAGAGAGAAGAGAGAGGTAAAAGAAGAGAAAGAAAGAGGTAAAAGAAGAGAAAGAGATGAAAGAGAGGGTGGAGAGGTGAAGGAGAGGATGTGAGAGGGGAGGTGTAAAAGGAGAGGGAGAGAGGTGACTAAAAAGAGAGAGAAGGGGACAACAAAGGAGAGTTTTCTCTTTTTTTGTCCCTTCTCGACAAAGAAGGAGAGAGAGAAGGTGACCAAGAAAAGAAGGAGAGAGTGAGAAGGCGACCAAGAAAAGAAGGAGAGAGTGAGAAGGCGACCAAGAAAAGAAGGAGAGAGTGAGAAGGCGACCAAGAAAAGAAGGAGAGAGAGAGAAGGCGGCAAAGAAAAGAAGTAGAGAGAGATGGCGGCAAAGAAAAGAAGTAGAGAGAGAAGGAGACAAAGAAAAGAAGTAGAGAGAGAAGGAGACAAAGAAAAGAAGGAGAGAGAGAAGGAGACAAAGAAAAAAGGAGAGAGAGAGAGAAGGCGACAAAGAAAAGAAAGAGAGAAGTGGACAAAAAAGGAGAGCGAGAGAGAGGAGGACAAACAAAAGGAGAGAGAGAGAGAGAGGAGGACAAAGAATATGAAACTACCATGAAATAACATTTTACGCCATTGTTTAAAATTGCATTTACATGACAAATTTGTCTTTTTAAAATTTTGTTTTATAGTTCCATTCATCAGTTTTAAAGTAAGGAAAACTGCCATCCCAAATCGGGCATGAAATACTTTTAAATGCTAAAATTCTATAACTTTTCTAAAATGTATATTTTAGAGTACCATTCTGAAGCAGTTTTGAAGCAATCAAATCTGCTGCAAAATATCAAACCAAAGTTTTCCATTTTTACATATTGAATATTTTGACAAGTCGAACCACTAGTACTTGTTTTAAATCACTTTAAATGACAAGATATCTAACATTCTTAAAAAGTATATTTTAGAATACCATTCTAAAAATGTTTCTAACGGAAATTTGCTAAAAACCTTTATTTAAATATAACCAACTGAACTATAAAATAACTGATTTCATTTTCTTGTTTGACACCACTTTCACAAGACAAAATTGTCTGCCTTCTTGAAAACGTATATTTTAGAGTACCTTTCTAAAAATGTTCTAAACAAAGGAAATTTGCTTAAACAAAAGATGCTAATATATAACCGTTTCATCTCTAGCAAAGCGATAATGTCACTAGAACGCAGGGGCTTACAGAGAGTGAAAGAGAATGAGAAAACTTTAGAGGGGAAGATTGAAGAAAGGACAAAAAGAGAAATAGATGACAGCGAATAATGATTTCGGAAGGACATAAGCGAGAGAAAAAAAAATAAAGAATAGAATTGATGTTTGCCTCAAAGATGCCAATCTTAAATCCATGCAGTCGATGCACGAAGCGAGAAAGCTCATTAGAACAATGAAAATATTTGGCAAAAAAAAAAAAAAAAAAAAAAAAACAAGAGTAAAGTCGGGTAAAATCGGTGAGAATTTTACTGAGGTTGAGATGCCAGGTCAGGATCAATTATATTTGAGATCCTTCTTTTTAATTTTGTCAAAAATCTCAAGATAATTAACAGTAGCTCCAGAATAAATATGGCCGCTGTATTCTATGTACGAAGGAACGGTAGATTTATAAATATCCAAGAAGAGTTCTGATGGGAAGAAATTCTGACACGACATAATAAACCAACTTTCCGAGCAGTAGACCTAGCTATTGAGTCAATACAATCACTCCTCCTTCATGTCAGTGGAAAACGGGACCCAAGAAGGTTCAAAGTGTTGTTCTCCAGAAGGTTTGCATCAGCCAAGCTGATGACAGGCAGAAAAAGTTCGGCATTTTGAATAAATAAGAGTAATTTTGTTTTAGAGGCGAGAAAATTAACCATTCTTTATAATAATAATAATATTTTTTTTGTTTAAAAATATGATTCCTTCGCTACATAAGAGTTCTCATGTTTCAAAAACGAGAGCCGAAATCATCCAAATAATTATTAAAATTAAGTTGAACTCAGGTGTTTAGTCTCGTTTCATCTTCAAGCGAAATTTTAGGAATAGCTCTCGTTTTTGAAACATGAGAACTCTTATGTAGCGAAGGAATCATATTTTTAAATAAAAAAAATATTATTATTATTATTATAATAAAGCTCTACTTATGCACTGTCTTCTTAAAAATAAAAACAAAAATACTAAGGAACTCCGGATTATGCACCCAACGTGTTCTTTTCTATTTTCTGCATACCTGCGCACTTATATATATATATATATATATACAGTGTATCACAAAAGTGAGTACACCCCTCACATTTCTTCAAATATTTAAGTATATCTCTTCATGGGATAGCACTGAAAAAATTACCTTTTGACACAATGAAAAGTAGTCTGTCTGCAGCATATATAACAGAGTTAATTTCTTTTCCCCTCAAAATAACTCAAAATATAGCCATTAAAAGCTAAATCCCTGGCAACAAAGTGAGTACAACAAAAACTACACCCTAAAAAGTGAGTACACCCCTAAAGAAACTAAGACTACACCCAAATGTCTAAATTGAGTACTGCTTTTCATTTTCCTCCAAAATGTCATGTGACTCATTAGTGTAACTATGCCCATGTGTTCATGGGGAGCAGGTGTATTCAAATTTGTAGTGCAGCTCTAACACTCTCTCTTACTGGTCACTGAAAGTTCCAACATGGCACCACATGGCAAAGAACTCTCTGAGGATCTTAAAAAACGTATTGTTGCACTACATAAAGATGGCCAATGCTACAAGAAGATTGCCAACACCCTGAAACTGAGCTGCAGCACAATGGCTAAGATCATCCAGCATTTTAAAAGAGCAGGGTCCACTCAGAACAGGCCTCGGGTAGGTCATCCAAAGAAGCTGAGCGCACGTGCTGAACGTCACTTCCAAATGCTTTCTTTGAAAATAGGCGTAGGAGTGCTGTTAGCATTGTTGCAGAGATTAAAGAGATTGGGATTCAGCCTGTTAGTGTTCAGACCATACGCCGCACACTACATCAAATTGGTGTGCATGGCTGTCACCCCAGGAGGAAGACTCTTCTGAAGGCAATACACAAGATAGCCCGCAAACAGTTTGCTGAAGACATGTCAACAAAGCCCATAGATTACTGGAACCATGTCCTATGGTCTGATGATACGAAATTTAATTTGTTTGGTTCTGATGGCCTTAAGTATGTGTGGCGGCGACCAGGTGAGGAGTACAAAGATAAGTGTGTCATGCCTACAGTCAAGCATGGTGGTGGGAATCTCATGGTCTGGGGCTGCATGAGTGCTGCAGGTATTGGAGAGTTACATTTCATTGAGGGAAACATGAACTCCAACATGTACTGTGAAATACTGCAGCAGAGCATGATCCCCTCCCCCCAGAAACTGGGTCGCAGAGCATGATCTCCTCCCTCCAGAAACTGGGTCGCAGAGCAGTGTTCCAGCATGACAATGACCCCAAACACACATCCAAGACAACCACTGCTTTACTGAAGAGGCTGAGGGTAAAGGTGATGGACTGGCCAAGCATGTCTCCAGACTTGAACCCAATAGAACATCTTTGGGCCATCCTCAAGCAGAAGGTGGAGTTGCGCAGAGTCTCAAATATCCGCCAGCTCCGTGACGTCGTCATTGAGGAGTGGAAGAGCATTCCAGTGACTACCTGTGAAGCTCTGGTAAACTCCATGCTCAGGAGAGTAAAGGCAGTTTTGGATAATGATGGTGGCCACAAAAAATTGACAGTTGACATGTTGTATGTTAATATTGACAACTTTTCCTAAGGGGTGTACTCACTTTTGTTGCCAGGGATTTAGCTTTTAATGGCTATATTTTGAGTTATTTTGAGGGAAAAATAAATTAACTCTGTTATATATGCTGCAGACAGGCTACTTTTCATTGTGTCATTTTGTCAGTGTTGTCCCATGAAGAGATATACTTAAATATTTGAAGAAATGTGAGGGGTGTACTCACTTTTGTGATACACTGTGTGTGTGTATATATATATATATATATATATATATATATATATCGCCTGTGGAACTTCCTTCAAAAATCTTTATTCGCTGTCATCAATTTCCCTTTTTTTTCTTTTACTCATCCCCCCGCCATCTAAAGTCTCCTCATCCCCTTTCACTCTGTAACCACCTGCACTCCATTGGCATTATCGCTTTGCTACGGATGAAACGGTTATATATAAGGATCTTTGTGTGTGTGTGTGTGTGTGTGTGTATATATATATATATATATATATATATATATATATATATATATTAAAATAACTGATTTAAAATATGGTTTTTTTGCTACACAGTAATAATCATGTTTCAAAAATGGAAGCTAAAAACTTCAAATTTAATTATATAATTGAATTAAAAGCATTAGTTCAGTTTCATCTTCAAGCGAATATAGGAATAACTTATTTTTAAATTTACTGAGTTTTAAACGCACACGTAAATTCATAATTTCCTGTTTCCAAGGATACAGAGAAATCCAATCATTCGGTAGCGTGTTCATTTTTATTAACTAATGTTTTATCAATTATGAGTTACATTCGTAAAAGAGGTTACTAATAGACTATATTTCTTTTTAAAAGAAGTAAATGTAATAGAATTAATTAAATTATTTAAAATTACTTGTTTTTAATTAGTAATTAAGAGTAAAAATATTTTAAAATTGTAGTTAAATAAAATGTATTCTAACCCAAACACCCTAAGAAAGAATCTTTAAGTATACAAGTACGAAAAAATGCCGAAAAACTTTTTGCCGAAAAAAACCCATACGGCATGCATTTAACGGATGTCAGAATTCGTTGAAAAATACATCCCTACCCTCCGTAAACTTAACCTAAACTCATCCAAGCATAGAAATGAATATGGGAATAAGGAGTGTCAGAGAAAAGCGATAACAATAAAGACGGCAATATGAGCTTTGGTAAAAACATATGTGATAACAGCAAAAATTGCAATATGAGCAATGGTTAAAAATGGTTGCTGAAGACATTAGGTTTATAATACCCAGTGCCATGTGTCCTTGAGGACTGATGTCCGAATAATGTAAATAGTGTACATAATACCTCATCTCAGAAATATAGACAGATACTGAAAGGCCGAAACGTTGTAATAAATATGGCGACAAAGATGAGGATAATAGTCCGAATAATGTAAATAGTGTACATAATACCTCATCTCAGAAATATAGACAGATTTTCAAAGGCCGAAACGTAATAAATATGGCGACAAAGATGAGGACAATAGTCCGAATAATGTAAATAGTGTACATAATACCTCATCTCAGAAATATAGACAGATACTGAAAGGCCGAAACGTTGTAATAAATATGGCGACAAAGATGAGGACAATAGTCCGAATAATGTAATTAGTAATTCTTATAACTTTTATGAATGCTAAAGGTGAAAGGCCGAAGTCCCAAAAGCCCTCCACAGGAGTTAGCCTAAAGTCCGCACGGAGGGTGGCTTCTAGGCTAGTTTCAAATATAACGCTAAAAAGATGTGATAAGTAAAGATGTATTAATTCTTTAAAAAAAAGTATTTTTCAGACTCTAGTCTTACGTTGACGTGGCTGTCTTACATTAAAATGTCCTCG